CTCCGGCATGAGGTCCATATGCCATAGGGCGTGCGTGAGTAACACGGGAGCCTCATGCCAAAAATAGCTGGCAGCACATGATCAAGGACAGCCAATCAAAATAAGGCAGGTTACTGAGACATGGCAAGAAAGAGCATGCAAAGAGCAACCATCATGGTGCAAACTCAGACCGTCACAGACAGCTCAAGGTGCAAATTAAGACAACCCTTGCGAAGGCCCAAACTTTTTGCCACAGCAGGGCGCAAATCAGAATCTGAGCTCCAGGCAGCAGGCCCTCCAGGCCCACAAGGAAAAAGCCAGCTAGGACACAAAGGCGCCCGCGCGAGTGGAACCCCATGCCAGCGAACGTCCTTTGCCAAGTTGTCAGGCAGGGATACCAGGTGCAAACAAAATCTGGCCCGACAGGGGAGTAATCAGGATACCCCCAGCTCAGGGCCAAAGGCGCCCGTGGTAGGGGAGGCACCGTCTTACTGCCTCACCTGTATGAGCCTACTCCGCTTGAGCGGGATGATGACGGCCCACAAGGCCTTGCTGACCTCCCCCAGCCCATTGTTGGAGAAGCGCATCTGCGCGCGGGTCTGGGGGTCGAGGAGGAGCGAGTTGTCACGCGGCGGCGCCACAAGCTCCACCCTCTTGTAGAACTCCATTTGATCTTTGACCCAGGCGTTGTAGAGCGACTCTGGGGGCTCATCCAGGATCAACTGGAGCTGGGCGGACTTGCCCTTGTGCTCGCCCGTGATCTGGACAAAGCGCGTGGCTCCACGATTTGAGCGCCAGAAACGCCTGCAGAACCTGCAGAGGTAGCCACCCCTCGTCTCGCCCTTCTGTTTGCTGACGATCTCCCAGGCTTGACAAAACCAAGCCGCACTCCATCTTGGCCCAGAACATGTGCTTGGATTTGTCCCCGAACACCTTCTTCTTGCCTTCCGTGGAGGCTACGGACTCGACATTGTGAACAGTGATCTCGGGCATGGCTCGGACATCATGCTCTCGATCGCCAGGGCGGAGTTGCCCAGCTTCTCGCCTGCCACCACTGCACAGTGTTGCAGCGCCGGGCCATCTTGATGTTCAGGAGGCACGTGTCAGGGCCCAGCCTGGCCGCAAGGGACTGGTACACGTCCGGGAAGGACTCGAAGGCAGAGAGCGGCAAGGTGATGCGCTCATCGCAGATTGCCCTGAGCCTTTGTCGTGGATGGGGGCAGGTGGCAAATCCAACTCCGTGGGGGCGCGGGACAAACGCGCCTCCCGGCAGCACCCTCCACCCAGCCTTTTTTCGAGGCCGGGGCAGCGTTGAGTGTGAGGAAGTCCGTCCTTCTGGACCTGCTGGTAGGACTGCACGCGCTGCGTATGGACCTCCCGCAGCGCCTGGCAGGCCTTCTATGTGCTTGGAGACTGTGATGGGCATGTGGCTCCATACGGGTACAAATGGCGGCAGCCAGCACCTCCCTGACCCAGTGGTAGGCATCATCGCCCTCTGCAAAGAAAGCCCCACGAATGGAGCCAAAGTCCGGGCGCACGCCCTGCTGAATCGGATCTCGTCCTCGCGCCACCGGCTCAAAGAACGACTTGCGGTACGTGCTGGGGCGCGTCTTCATCTCCAGCAGCATGATCTCGGCCAGCGGCAACCAGCACCCCACCTCGAGCCCCGTAGGCTTGAACTCAGGGGGTCCCTCGGGTTTAAAGGCACCCGTGTCGCCCCCCAAGGGCCGCACACGAAGGCAGCGGGAAAGGGGGCCATAGCTCTCCTGCATCATGTCCAGCTCAGCGGCGTCCATGACCTGCAGGGGGGACTCCGGGATGAAGCAGCCAGACGCAATGGCCTGGCGGAGCTTGTCAGACCAGACCGAAACCGCATCTGGGGCGGGGCTCAACAGCTGACGCTGCTCTCCTCCTGGCAACGCTTGTTCTGGGCCTTGGCCTTGTCTAACTCGGTCTGCGCGTCCAACAGCGTATCCAAGTTGCCGCCGGGACCCTGGACGTAGTTAGTTAAGCTTGAGAAGGGAGTGGAAGCGGTCGAGATATAAGTGGCGCAGCACCTGGGCGGACTTGGCCTTGTCATCATCAACCGACAATGCCCCGGTCTGGAGCTCATGGAGGACGGCAATCTGAGGGTCAATCACGGCCTCCGCCTCTGCTTCGGTCGGTCTGCGTGCTTTCCCTTCCACTTCACACATTTGCGCCTGCAACTTCGTGGCCTTGACGAGCTTGGGATGGAAAACCTTCTGCTCCTGGCCCTGGATGTTGTCGGACATTTTCCAGGGCCTCTCGCCTTCCTCTTTCCCCATAAACTGGAGCTCGTCAAACGGCTGCTTGGACACCTCGTGCTTTAAGCTGACTCTCAGGGCCAAAGGCACCTGATCAGCAAAGCACTGCTCCGAGCCATCCGAGGTGGAGGTTGGGTTCTCCGCAGAGTTGCCAAGGTCCACCCCCATCTGCTCCTTGGGGTAGTCGTCCTTTGTCCACGGCCTGCCAGGAGATGCTGTCCGGGGTGTAGACCAGTCTCCAGATCAGCCCATCAGCCTCGATCTGGCAGCTTGGCGCGGACCTCTCCACTGCGATGACCTGCCTCTTGCACAGCAGGCATGTCGCGTCCACCTTCGGGTTCGTCCACTTCTGGAAGCAGTTCGGGCACATCAATTCATAGTTCTGCTGCCCAGGGGTCAACTGGCCCATGTCAGAGCCAACCCCCCTGCCCTGCCTGGAGTACTTTACTCTCAACAGATCCTCGTGCTCTGCCTCCCTCTCAAGCACCCTCTGCAGCGACGCCTGCGTCCAGCTCGCATTCTTCCAGCGGAGGACCAGGGTTGCGGCATCATCGTTGGTGACGCCTCTGGCGAGCTTCTTGGTGGTCTCGTCCACGTGCGGCAGGGCCTCTGGGAAGCCCTTGATGGAGTAGAGGCCGGTGTCCTGGCGCACAAACTCGATGGGCGCCTTGGGTCAATGGTCTCAGCATCCATGGCTGAGGAAGTGTCAACATGGCCCTCTCCCTCGGGGCCAAAGGCACCCGTGGTCGAGGCAGCCTCTACCTCCATGCCAGCAAGCCCATGTGAGGAATCGGTCGAACCAACCTCTCCCTCAGGGCCTCAGGGCCAAAGGCACCCGTGGTTGAGGCGGTAGCCTTCTCCTTGTCCACGCGCTTGCGGGGGCTGATCTCAATGACCTCGGCCTCATCAGCAAAGGCCAGCGTCTTCTTCTCCTTGCTGACTGCCAACTTGGCCAACGCCTCCTCCATCTCGCGCAGCTTCTTGGACAGGGGCTTGTCATCGGAGTCGATGATCTGGGCTTCGGCCAAAAACGGTGTGGTCTCCTGCTCCTCGCGGACGGCCTGGTCATGCACCATCACGGCTTCGTCCTTAATCTGGATCCACTCACTTTCGCTTCCTGACATTTCCACGTCAACATCCGAAGGTTGCACTGGTCCAACCGGCAAAACGCCAGAAGGGATGTCAGCAGCCGCCGAGGCGCTGGCAGCAGGCACGGATGAGGAAGCCATGACTCAAAGAATGAGTGTTTGAAAGCGAAGAGAACTTTTCAAATTTTGAAGGACCACAGTCCACAAGCTTGAGCCAAAATGGCAGGGCCATTTTGGCAGCATGTTCCAGACATATGCCTTGCATTCCGCAGGCTACAGCAAGTGAGCAATTGTTGCAAAAGCTTTACGGCTCTGTAGGCCTCCCACATCCCGAGTCGTCATCTGGTGTCTGAACTCAAGTTGTGATGGCCCGAGGACTAGGTCAGAAACCGCTTGAAAACCCATGGCTGGAAATCAATCGATAGGCCACGCAAAAAAAGTCCTCACGGTGATAGCGATGATGAATGGGCAACAAGCAACCTTACAAAGCTTGCCAGTGCATACTCCTGCGTCTGCGGAGAAAGAATGGATGGGAAGGGACGCTGCATGTACACTCTCCATCACTCTCATGCCTACTTGGACGGCTATCTTCTAAGCGACTTGAAGTGTCGTCACTCGAATCAGGTGTTTTGATCTGAGGTTCACGCATGATCTTGGTCTCCAGCTCCTGTACCAACACCCTCAGGGAGTCCTCCCGCAGCTTAAAGTGCCAAACATGTTGATACCACTGATCTCAAAGCTGCATGCTTCATTCAAGTTGTCAGAACAGCATAACTGCCTCAAGCTCGTTAACAGCTCGATTTGCCTCAGCACCTCGAGACTAGAAATGCTGCATGCAAGGCTATCAAAAAGCTTCTATGACAAGCTTCCGACGTGCTGCCAGGGCTCTGGGGCGCAGCTGAGAGGCTATAAAACGATTGCTGGGCCTGCGGCACTGCGGGATCTGCTTTCTGAAGCGAGCAGATTTCCCAACTCTTGAGAAGCATGATGTTTTGGCCTCTCCTTCAGCACATCGCAGAGAAGCGCTTCTCCACGAGATAAGCTCAAGCCGCGATCTTGAGCTGCCTTTGGCGGGTGTTGACGAGGCACGGTTCAAGATGGACAGGAGGTGCACCGAGAAATCCCCAATAAAACATCCAGGAGCCTCCTGGGCACTCTCCATACAAAATACCCTTTGGGCACCAAAGGGCAATCCTGCCCTGAATCAACATCCCCAACAAGCTCGGACGAATCTTGAACCAGCGGTCCAGACACTCCGCAAGAGATCAGAGATTGGCTGGTGATGCCAGATGCAAACATCTGCTCACAGTTGGTCATTCAACTGGAGGGCGCGAAACCAGCATCAGCTGAATGAAGTTGAGTGGCGTGGCCAGGTAAGGGGGGCAAGGATATCAGCCGCTCGAGCGGTCTGAAGAATGCGCATGCCTGCTACCCTGAAACCAGTCCAGGCCTTAGCCTCGTCCTTGCCGAAGAACGCTTCAAGGGCCTGGGGCCATGTCGTGCATTGAGAATGCTGCCAAGTCAAACTTTTTGGCATGTCTGATGGCATTTCTAGCGTCTCTTGAGTTTTAAGGCACTTTGTCAGATCCATAACACCATCTAACCTGCGCTTGTAGAGTGTCTCGCATTCGGCTCAACAAAACAACATCCCAGGTTCTTGCGCCATCCTTCATGCACGGCAATGCTTTAGACATCTCTGCATTTCGTGACACGAAGCACAACCCAGAAGATTCTTCGCGTCATACACTGCGTACACTCAAACGCTGCGTTTAAATTTGCGATTACAAACCAGAGTATGCTCAGCACCTCACCTTTTCTGCGCCACTTTGGGGCAGTGACACGTAGCAAAAGCCATAGGATCGGCGAGGATCATACCACTTGATGCTGGCCTTCTCGCAGGAACAGATGCAGCAAGGATTGTAAAAAGCAGTACTACACATCGGTCACACAAAAGCCGTCTTTTAAAGATTCAGTGACTGAAAGCAAGTACCTCCACTGCTGAGCTGATTCAGGACAGGCCTCCACTCCTGGTACCAGAGCATCTCCAGCCTCCATCTGTTTCCATCATTCTTGCTACGGCGTGGCTGTCTGAGAACGCCCATGGCATCCATGTCTGAGGCCAACATGAATCAAGCAAAAGGTGTCACAGGAAGCTCAAGGCCTTCCAACCAAAACTCTCTGCAAGCTCAAGCCAAGCAAGCGGGTCCACAACAACCATGGAAATCATGCTGCGCACGAGATCCACCACTGACAGAATAGTCAAGCGTCACAGTTCTTCCTGCGTGAGGAAGCTGAACACGTGTGTACAATCAGCAAAATCGCACTCAGGATAAACTCATTTTCCTGCGTTCGCAGATTAAAGCGATCTGAGCCAGATGTCTCACGAACTCAGTCTGAACCTGCAAAAGCAGAGAGGAGTGCATTGAACCAATGATCTTCTTTACAAACGCTCGCGCTGGATGCTGGCTGCGCCCAGAGTGGTGTTGCAGGAACAGGTCAGGAAGCTTTGCCGATTGACGAGGTACAAAGCCACGAGTTTGATGTTTGCTTCCCGAAAGCATGGCAAAGGGTTTTGGTCCGTGGAGGTGGTTGTCTAATGGGATGGCTTGATGTTTGATTGACAGGATGGCGCGAGGTTTGATCCATGGGATGATGTGAAGAGGAGGTTGCACTGTTGTCGTGAGGCATGGGATGGGATGTGAGGTTGATGGCATGATGTGAGGCTGTTCTGAGGTGTCCGACGTTTCCTGAGGTTACCATGAGGTTTTCATGGTTGGCTCTGATGTGGGGTTGTGTGGCTCTCTGGCTCGAAATCAAGTGTAACACTGGAGGGAACCATCGCACCTCTCCGAATTTGCCCTTGCGGGTGGAGCCTCTTGCAATTTCTGGCCGAGATCGACAACCCTCTCAGTGTCATGTCGCTTTCCGGACGCTGCCGTGTGTAGCGTCCTTCGAATTTTGCTCGGAATCGTCGCTTTGGAGTGGTCGCGGCGTGTCTTGACGCTGGTGTGTGGACGGTCTTGGGAATTTTCTGGGAATCTGTGTTTGCGGAGTGTCCATTGCCTCTTAAAAAAATTGCGCGGCCACATGGAGTATCTCCAAATTTTGCTTGGCATTGTCAACCGTCTCAGCGGTCGCAGCACGTCTCGACGCTGGCATGTGGGGCATCGTCCGAATTCTGCTTAGAATTGCGGCGTGTCCGGACGCTGGCGCGCGGAGTGTCTTCCCACTTGTGCTCGGAAGCATCGACCCATTGTCAGACACTGACACGTGGAGTCTATGAGAGTCTGCAGAATCATGACAGAGCTCTCGCACGGAGAGTTGCAAGCCATTCACCGGATGGCGCTCCTGCGTGGAGCATCGCAAGAATCCGCTCGCCGGGCAGCCCTCCCGTGTGGAGCGCACTCCTGCACGGCGTGTCTTAAGAATCCGGTTGCATGACGGAGCGTCCTCAGAACCCTTTCGTCAGAAGGCGCTGCCGTGTGAAGCGTCAGCCAGATCTTTCTGCATGACATCGCATGACGGCGCTCTCGCGTGAAGCGTGTACAAAATTCGTTCGCCTTTGGGACAACCATTCATCTTTGGAAAGGGAATAAAGTTTTGGCTTTTACAAAGCTTCATGTTAGACAACGAAACTTTATGTTAGACAAAATGTTCTATCAGGCAACATTGTCTCCGTCTGGAAATTTCCGGAGTTGGGATAGGGAGGTCCAGCACGCGTCCACTTGTCTGTCCCGCGCTCATGATTTCTGATTCCGCCATCCAGTGCACTTCCTTGCTTTTAGGACTCTGGAAGTTGTTCTCTGCTGTCGTATTATAGGAGGCAAACGGGTTTAGGGTTAAAGTCTTCATGTCTTACAAGCATAGCTGGCGTGGAGTGCCTGGGCCTTTGAAAGCCAAGCCCCGTACGAAAGCCTTCGCAACAACAAGAGATGTTCTGGGATAAGTTTGCCCCAGGAGAAGCGACTTGGGCCTCCAGAAAGTCATCCTTTATCTTTATCTGGCCCTCCAAGTTGTTCTGCTTGCTGCTCTCCTGGAAATACTTTGCCTCTAGATAAGCAAATCGGCTAGAATGACGAATTGGCCTTCCAGGAAGTCCCCCTTTGTTCCCAAGATAAGCGAATTGGCCCTCGAGGAAATCCTCCCTTCTGGATCAAAGTTTGCCTTTTGGCGGCCGTTCTGGTGCCGATTCTGCCTTTGGAGCGCATTCGTGCGCTCTGCTGAGGGCAAATTTTGTGCCAGCTTGAACTTTCTGAAGACAATTTTGCCTTTCGAAAAATGCGACTCTTCCGGTGCATTTGCGCCTTCTTTGGCCAGTCTTGCCTTTTGAGGACCACGATTTGGAAGATCTTAAACATCTGGATGGCATGGAACCTTAAAACCATCCCTAAACCCTGAACCCTAGGCGCATGCTGGGGCGGGGGCAAGGCTGTGGCAGCTTCAAGACTTCAGCTGTTGGAGACGAAATCAGCTGGAAATCACGAATCACTCCGAATCGAGTACTTCTACTAGCACTCGTAGAAGCAGCGGGAGCAGCTGAAAAAACGAGTTTACAATGGGCCATGAATCGCAGGAACGAGCAACTTCTGAGGACGTTTTGCATTTGGAGTTAATTTGGGCCTTCTGCCGCCTACTTTACGTTTTGGAGCCGATTCGGGCTTTCCGGAGCCTATTTGGTCCTTTGCAGTCAATTTTGCACTTTGCATCTACAATTCGGGACTTCTTGGGCAATTTTGACCTTTGCTACGTTGAGTTTTCTCGTCAATTTTGCCTTTTGGGGTCAGTTCGGGCATGCCTTTCGAGGTTAATTCAGGCTTTCTGGAGGCAATTTTGCCGTGCGGAACCAAGCCGGGCATTCATGTTTGCCTTCTGGTTCAGGAACCAGTTGCCTTTTGCAACGAATTTAGATCTTCTGGGCTAACACTGCGTTTGGAAACAGATGTTCTTGTTGGAGCCAACTTAATCTTTTGCCTTTTGGAACCAACTTCATCCAATTTCGGCATTCTGTTTTTCAGCAAAGTCCGATCTT